ACCCAACCCAAGAGATTTAGTGTCAAGAGCTTGCCCAAGACATTTCCTGGCAGGAGCGTCCCAAGATCGCACCCAAGTACTTTGCCATATGCGGCACCTTGAAGGAGGGAGGTAAACCGGCAACGGCAAGGAGGTTGCGATATTCAGGTTCAGGGAGGGCGGCGAGAGGGACAATGATAGATTTCGTGACGTTGAGCTCGAGTCCAGCAGCCTGGGCAGCACACGCAAATACAGGAAGTGCCAAGGCCAGAGCTCGATACACGTCCTGCGAGACAAGCCCAACGTCGTCAGCACAGGCACCAGCACCGATGGCACGCGCTGAAGACGCTGCTCAAGCATCCTTAAGATCGGATCGATGCACAGCACGAAGAGCGAGGAGGAGAGCGGGCGCCCTTGCTTGATCCCACGCTTGACCCACCGTCCAGGTTCTTGCACCCCGCAGAAGGAGACAGAAACCCACACTTGCTGATAAAGAGCGGCAGCCGCCCTGCGGATTGTCTTCGGGAACTTCATGGTTTTGAGGACGAACATAATCATGGAGTGGAGTGGGGTAGGAAAGGCAGCCTTGATATCAAACGTAACGTAACCCGTCGCCTGAAGTCCGTCCTGAACAAACCAGTCCACGGCCCGAGATTCCAGAGCAACAATGTTGTTGGCGAAATTGCGCCCAGGTATAAAACCACGCTGAAAATCGATACAACACTCCTGGAGAACACGAAAGACAGGCTTATTAATAGCACGGCTGATCAACTTGTTATCCGAATTGCCAAGCGTAATAGGCCTGGTCTGCTCAGGTGGACGGAAGACAGCATCCGCAGCATCGCTGGGGGCATCGCCCTTGGGCAAGAAAACAGCGATGCCATGATTAAATTCATCGGGAAGTCGCCGACGAGCGAGAAGTTCCTGGTACACTTGAAAGAGAGGTTCCATCGCGCAGGTACCGCCCCGAAACCAGGCACTGTAAGGAATCCCGTCGGGCCCAGGACACGAGTCTCGAGCATATTGAGCATGCTGACAAAATTCATCGAACTCAAGTTCCCAGAACATGAGAGGAGGCACCTGCGCGATGAAGGGTACGAGTTCTTGCCGTCTGGCTTCTTCACCTTCGACGGAGGCGCGTGCCTGTCCCCAGTGCGCCGCCAACAACTTAGCCGCAGCACTAGGTTCAGAAACCTGGAGACCCGTCGGGTCGGAAATAGCAGAGAGCGAGATCCTCCTCCTCCTTCGGCCCCAGGCGCAGAGATGCGACGTGAGTCTGTTTCGAACCGCATGCTTCTGAACCATTGGCCTGTCCGACTCCTCATTCTCCTGAATCTGCCCCTGGATCTGCTCAGTCTTGGGATCGCTCAAAAATCCGTGAAGTCCATGAAAGTCAGTCCAAAGGCCAGATTCCCAACAAATAAACTGCTGCAGGTCCGTAAAAGCCCCCAGGGCTTTCCGAAGAAAAAGAAGTTGCCCGCGCCGAAGGCTACGTAGAGCCGCCAGAGCCCAATGTACCTTCTCTTCAACAGACAGAGGTCCACCAGGGCGCGAGAATTCAATAACGCGTTTCGCAGCCGCCTTGATAACTGCTTTTGTCTCACCGAGAGCCAGGATAGGGTCAGGATCCCGAGGGCCAGCAGCATCAGCAATTTCATCCAAAAAACTCACGATACTTGGGATGCCGAGGAACCCAGGACGGGACACGAAACCCACTGGGCGGCGAAACGTTAAGCCGAAGGAGTACAGGTGCGTGATCGGAGAGTGGCCACTCTCCCTGTGAGGCCCATCGTACAAGGCTGAGCGGCTTAAAGTCGAGCAGCACGCTGCTGGGGATGTTGCAGTATATCCGATCTAGCCGCGCCAGAAATGAAATAGCAGGCCTGGGGCCGCTCGCATCCATCACACGATGGGTGAAGTGGTGCTGGTCTACCTCGCACAGGTCGGGAAAGAGACCGGAGAAGAATGCCCCACGGCTGTTGTTACTATAACGAATATGCCCATCATAAGAAAACGAACCTTCCCCGTCAGCAGGAACATTGAGATCGCCACAAAGGAACCCCGTGCTCACGTCAGCCCCCAACATGGACCTGCGAATCAACCGAAGTTCTCCTTTTTGCTGCAAAACCGTCGCCCCAGGATCAATGTGTATGTTACATATCTGTAGAGTACCATGTATGCCGTGAAGAGAAACCAGATGCACCCGTCCAGGCACGAGAGTACGATGGCGAAGAGCGAGAAACTGCCCACGGAGCCGAGGGTGCAAAATAATGAGACTGCCACCAGCAGAGCGATCGCAAAAGAAGGTACATTTTCCGCTGACACCTTGGAACTCTTTCAGAATTAAGTCTAAGTCGTGATAGGTTCCGCGAGCCTCCTGGATACAGACGACATCGTGGGCTTGACAAAGCCGATGCATCTGTTGGATTTTCTGCTTGAGTTTGGTGTGACTGGTGGATAGGCCCCCGAACAACGATCTGGCGTTCCAAGTGACAATGGAGAAATCGGAACTAGGGTAAAACGGCGTGCGGCAACAGCGCGGAGGCAAGCCCTCCGAAGAAGCCGAAGACGAGCACGTGGAGCCCGAAGAGGAGGAAGAAGCGGAAGACGAGACGGAGGAAGAACTCGAAATAGATGCAGACCGACGCCGTTGCCCACGTTGCGTACGAGGTACGGCAGGAGCAAGACGGCACCCACTCGGTCGATCCACTTGGACGGACGTGTTAGGCGAGGACATTTCCTATTCAATGGCACCTCTCATGGTAGCAGTGACCTGGTCCTTCTCCATCTTCAAGGACTGAAGCGCATCGAAGTCGGGGTTGAGGCTGGCAGAGGTGTCGGGGTTCTCGATGAGCGAACACAAGACGGTGACTTCCTCGTTCTTGGTGAAGAACAGGATGCCCTTGTGCCCGTTGACGGCGAGCGAGATGTTCTGTCCGATCCCCTTGGCGGCAAAATGCTGCGAGACCCCTTGCCATACACGCCCAAGAATAATATTGCGACGCCGCACATCAGGGGTAGCATCACGACGGGCGCGGAGAGAAATGTGACCCTGGGGAGAGACGAACTGCAGGCCATGCGTTTTGACATGCTCGAGAAACGCCTTCGAATCGGTGTCGCTCTCAAACTTCGCACAGAAGGCTTTGTTGAGATTGTGCGCAATGATCTGGGAGGGGGGCTTGATGTGCGAGGGCAGGTGAGGGATGACCGTGTCCTGCATGAATTTCGTCATCACACGAGCCAACACTGGAGCCTTGAATCCACCAATCCATATCTTTGTGGGGTCTGCCCCACGCTCCACACTTCCAGACCCAGTGAAACTCGCAGAGGGAGGCGGCCCAGCTGACCTACTCCGCCAACGAGGGTGAGAGGCGACAGATGATGAGCCAGAGCGAGTGCTAGCGACATCAGACTGGGACTGAGAGTGAGCCTCAGATCTTCGCCTCAAGTCGAGCAAACAGCGCCGTTTCTTGAGCGGTATTCAGACCTGATTTCACCTGCTCTTCTAGAGTATTCATGCGCTTGGTGAGCTGGGCGATGTTCTCTTCACTCTTCGATACCGACGACTGCAGACCGAGGATGTCGTCCTTCGTGACCATGTTCTTTTCCATGCGCCCCAGAATCGCCACAAGATCAGCACCCCCATCAGGCCCGCGCGGGCGAACCTGTCGCTGAAACTCGACGGCGTGCTCCATCGCATCGTCACTGGAAGGCGACGCACCAGCGGCGGCGGCAGAGGCAGAAGACATGGTAAGAGGTGTCCGTCCGAGCACGACACTCGGAATCGCTTCTTCAAGAGAAGCTGCCCGCCCTAATGGGACCTGCTCTCATCTTGAGCCAAATGGCAACGGAAGGAGGAGGAAGAGGAGGAGGAGGAGGAGGAGGAGGAGGAGGAGGAGGAGGAGGAGAAGGATGAGGAGGGGGAGGAGGAAGAGGAGGAGGAGGAGGAGGAGGAGGCGATGATGATGATGATGATGATGATGCTGATGCTGATGATGATGGTGATGATGATGATGATGATGATGATGCTGATGATGAGGGGAGGAGGATAGGAGGAGGAGGAGGGAGGAGGAGGAGGAGGAGGAGGATCGGAGGAGGATAGGAGGAGGAGCGGAGGTCGATAGGAGGAGAACAGAAGGATCGGTGGAGGATATGAGGAGAAATATCGGATAATGATAGGAGGCGGGTAGGAGGATGATAGGAGGAGGATATGAGGAGGAGGAGGAGAAGAAGGAGAAGGAGGATGAGGAGAATGAGGAAAAGAAGGAAGAGAAGGCGGAGGAGGAGAATGAGGAGGAGGAGGAGGAGGAGGGAGGAGGAGGAGGAGGAGCACGAGGATAGGAGGAGGAGGGTGGAGGAGGAGGTAGGAGGTGGAGGGAGGAGGAGGGTAGGAGGAGGGTAGGATGAGGATATGAGGAGGGTAGGAGGAGGATCGGAGGAGGATAGAAGGCGGATCGGAGGAGGATAGGAGAGGATAGGAGGATAGGAGGAGAATAGGAGGAGAATAGGAGGAGGATAGGAGGAGGATAGGAGGATGGTAGGAGGAGGATAGGAGGAGGATAGGAGGAGGATAGGAGGAGATAGAGGATAGGAGGAGGGAGGAGGAGGAGGAGGAGGAGGAGGAGAGGAGGAGGAGGAGGATGGAGGAGGAGAGGAGGAGGAGGAGGTGGAGGAGGAGGAGGAGGAGGAGAGGAGGGAAGGAGGAGGAAGAAAGGAGGAGGAGGAGCAGCAGCAGCAGGAGCAGGAGCAGGAGGAGGAGGAGGAGGAGGAGGGGAGGCGGAGGAGGAGGAGGAGGAGGAGGAGGAGGAGGAGGAGGAGGGGAGAGGGTAGGGGGGCGGAGGACGTGAGGAGAATAGGAGGAGGATCGGAGGAGGATCGGAGGAGAATAGGGGGAGGATAGGAGGTGGATCGGAGGAGGATAAGAGGAGGATCGGAGGAGGATAGGAGGAGAAAGATACGAGGAGTAGGGCTGTACGGGAAGGGGTGGCGGTGGTGGCAACGCGTGGGCTCCCGTTCGCCGCCTTGGCCGGGCGCGGGTGCCCCGTTGCTGAGCAGCGCGGAGGAGCCCTCGGCGCCGCCGCCCATCTCTGGCGGGGATTGCGCGCCTGCAGGAGGGCGAGGGAAGGGAGGGGGATACGCTCAGGCCGGCTGCCCGTCCCTCCTCCTCCAGCTCCTCCTCCTCCCTCCTCCTCCTCCTGATCCTCCTCCTCCTCCTCCTCCTCCTCCTCCTCGTCCTCCTCCTCCTCCTCCTCCTTCTCCTCGTCCTCCTCCTCCACCTCCTCCTCCTTGTCCATCTCCTTCTCCTCCTCCTCCTCCTCCTCTTCCTGCTCCTCCTCCTCCTGCTCCTCCTCCTCCTCCTCCTCCTCCTGTTTGCCCCCCCCAAGAGGAAGAGGTGGAAAGAGGTATAAGGGGGCAAGAGAAGAGAGGGAGCTGGGCGCCTTGTGATCCAGTGGGCGCCTCAACGCCCCATCGCAGCTCCGAGTGCGTCACCTGGATGCTTGTTGGTGATAAATGAGATGGGGAGGAGGAAGGAAGGATGAGGGGGAGGAGGAAGGTGGGGGGAGGAGGAGAAAGGGGCAGGGGAGGTGGGATGGGAGGGAGGAGGGAGGAAAGAGGGACGAAGCGTCTGGAGGAATGATGGGCATCCCGCTGCTTGCCCCAAAGCAACGGCTCTTGCATACATCCTGCTGAGAGGTTCTGGCGCACGTGGCCGTGTCAGCCTGAACGTTCGTAGCGCCACGAAAGAACCCCAGCAGCGGAGAAGGGAGGAGGAGTAATGAGGAGGAAGGCCACCCGATTCCTTCCCCAAATGACGATGGCTCGTGCAGCAGCGCCGAGAATTCTTTACAGGGGTGGCTGTGGTGGCCCGACTGTTGTCAGTGTGCCACATGGGCAGGATGAGGACCATGAGGACGACTAAGCATCGCTGACGGCAGCTCCGACAAACTGGTCCGCAAATCGCTACAGCGCAAAGGCTCCTCGCCACTGGCCCAAAGGTTGGCTACGTCCCAGGAGTCCGTCCCTCTGCGCCGCGGCCGCACACTCAAAAGCAGCCTTCTCCTACTCCTCGTGTTCCTCCTTCTCCTTCTCCTGCTCACCTCCTTCATGTGCTATAGTCCTGCCATGAATCCGCACGGTCACCACACAATGCAACTGTTCTCTTCTGCCAGCGGCGGAATCCGCGCTCTTGCGGGACAGCGACGGGATCCTGGTCATCATCATCTGAACCGAGGCCTTGGAATTCCGTACGGCGCAAGATCCGTGCAGGCTTCCCCAATCTATGTCCTGCCAGGGGGTGCCAAACGATAGTGAGCCACAGCCCCAAACCACACCCCAGACTCCCCCTTCCTCCTCCCGCTGCCTCTTGGGCTTGGACTTCGGCTCGGAATATGTATGGACCAGCAGGCAACTTGACTGTAGGAAACTCATGCGAACCGCTGCGCGTGCTGATGCGTGACAGGTCCCCTGGTGGTTTTCAGGTCATGCGGTAGAGGGAAGAAATTAAGCAACACTCCCCCCTTCCCCCGCAGTTTAAACTTGGCACGTTCCTTGAAGACCACTCGGAGGCCCCAAATCGGAAGATCCGAAACCAACATTGCATTTGGGGGGAGGGGGGGAGCTCAAACCATATGGTCTGCATGAATGTTGCTTCATTGCTTCCGCCACCTGTAACTCGGGCCTCTGGCTGCTGTTCGAAGGAGATCTGGGAACCCCCAGAACGCTCTCGGCGAGGCACCGCCGCCAGAGGGCATCCCGAAGCTGGAAAGCCGCCGAGAATCAAGGCCAGGCTCACGGCGATGTTGCTTAACGGTAATGGTGGGAACCATATTGCAGGACATCTCGAACCACACTTTCCTACGAGTCCAATCTGCGAATAGATCGAACGAAAAGGACACAACGAAGTGTATGGTAGCACGAGCCACGCGTTCCCACAATACCGAAACCTACATCGCCGGTACCTGTATCGCCGTTAGCCCGTCTCCGGGAGAACCCACGACAACGCCCGACAGCCTCAACCTCGAGCCTCGAGAACGCTCGACAGCCTCAGAGCAGCAAGGCCGACCTGACTATCCCATCACGCACGGTGCCGCCCTGCACCGTCATGAGAAGAGCGCCCGTCGCAAGGCAAGCCGCACGTCGTCGCGGCACACTCAGCAGCACGCCTGCCTCTCCCCTATGAGGCTTCTCCTGCAGGATCCTCTCTCGCCACCCTGGGCCCAACGCTCTGCTGGATCGGGAGGAGGGGGGAGTCGGGGAGGGGATGGGTTGAGGGGAGGGAGCGGGGGAGGGGAGGGGAGGAGGAAGGAGACGGGTGAGGGGAAGGGGGAGGGGAGGAGAGGAGAGTGGAAGGGACAAGCTAGGTGCGCAAGCGTCATATCTGACGTCCTACCACTCCCTCCTATCCCTTATCATTGCGTAGATCTCCTGCGTAGGTCTCCTCTCTTTTCGCACAGTCGGATGTCGAATAGGGCAATGATCCCGAGAGAGTGCGCAATGCATGGTATAGCACGTCATAGCATGGCATAGAACAGCACGGCTAGAGCCGACGTCGTCGCGTCGAGAACCCTACTAGTTTCGACAAGAAGGTCAGAGGGACACCATACATGACACAGGACGGGAAATGCCCATGGACGGTTTGGAAAACGGAAACGCAAAAGGAGATCAACGCTGCAGCGGGAGCACGATTTCGACGGACCGAAACCGCGGAAATGAGACCAACGCTGCAATGGGAACACTTTTTGAAGGACTGGAAGCGCAGAATCGACGCCAACGCTGCAGCAAGAACACGATTTGTAAAAACCGAAACAATGAAATGAGGTCAGCGCTGCAACGGGCACGTGCTTTGGAAAGACCGAGAACGGGAAAATGGTGCCAACGATGCAGCGGGAGCGCCATTATGAAAGGGTTGAAAACGTTGGGATTGGAATTCGCCTGGCGGAGGGCCCAACCATTGTGCAGGTGTGGGTGCCGCAATTCTGAATCTCGTCTTCGGTGGCGCTCCTTATGGGGCCACGAACCGTGTGAGGAGTGTGCCGAAATGTGTGGCGGGGTACACGACGCGAACGAAGACGATAGGTCTGAGTACGAGAGACGGAGTGCGGGTGAGTCTGAGCGCGAGTGAGTCTGATCGCGAAAGAGTCTGTGTGCGAGAGAGTCCCGGGCCTTCGGTGGAGCTCCCTAGAAGCCACGAAACGCGTGAGTAGTGTGCTGGAATGTGTGGTGGAGGCATGCGGGCCCTGCCTCTGAGGCCTTCGGTGGAGCTCCCTATGTGGCTACGAAACGTGTGAGGGGGTACCGACATGGGTGTGGCGGACGCATGCGGGCGGTGGCACTGGGGCCTTTCGTGGAGCCCCCTGTGGGACCACAGAACGTGTGAGGAGTGTGCCCGAACGGGGGTGACGCGTACATGCGGACGGTGCCACTTGGGCCTTAGCTGGAGCTCCCTATGGGGCCACAAAACGTGTGAGGGATGTGTCCGCACCGGGGTGACGCCCACATGCGGACGGTGCCACTGGGGCCTTAGCTGGAGCTCCCTACAGGACCACGAAGCGTGTGAAGGGTGTGTCGAAATGGGGCTCACGCCCACATGCGGACGGTGCCGCTGGGGCCTTAGCTGGAGCTCCCTATGGAGCCACGAAGCGTGTGAGGGGCGTGTCGAAACGGGGCTGACGCCCACATGCGGGCGGTGCCACTGGGGCCTTAGCTGGAGCTCCCTATGGAGCCACGAAGCGTGTGGGGAGGGTGTCGAAACGGAGTTGACGCCCACTTGAGGATGGTGCCACTGGGGCCTTAGCTGGAGCTCCCTATGGGGCCACGAAGCGTGTGAGGGGTGTGCCAGAACAAGGCTGACGCCCACATGCGGACGGTGCCACTGGGGCCTTAGCTGGAGCTCCCTATGGAACCACGAAGCGTGTGAGCGGCACGCTGAAGGTAATGGCGATGATGGTAACGATGACGGTGATGATGACGATGATGGTGATGACGACGGCCATGATGGTTATGATGCTGCTGATGATGATGCTACTGATGATTATTATGATGCTGATGCCGATGATACCACTGATGTGACGATGATGGTGATGATGGAGATGAGGATGACGTCGACGATGATGATGGCGATGCTGACGATGATGATGATGATGATGATGATGCTGCTGCTGATGATGAGGACGACTGTGATGCTGATTATGATGCTGATGATGATTATGATGCTGATTATACTTATGATTATGATTATGATCATGATGATGATGCTGATGATGATGGGAGGAGGGAGGATGGGGAGGAGGGAGGAAGGAGAACGCGGGGCGCTGTCTCTTCAAAACGAGGACCCAACACCACAGGATGGTTGGGGGAAAAACGCATATGATTTTTTAGCTGGGCGGCATCATGTGATGTGTAAAAGAACAATACGCGGAGGAGGCCAGGACACCTCACCGGCGTCTTCGGGGGACTCATAGTGTGTAGTTGTGGAGAGGAGAAGGGGGAGGGAAGGGGTGAGGGGACGAGAGGATAGGGGAGGGGAGAAGATGGGGGATTGTGGGGGGGGAGGGCAGGGGGGGGGGAGGAGAGGGGAGGGGGCAGGGGAGGAACGGACGCCTCTCTCTCTGCTTTTCGCCCGACCCACTCGGACGAAGTCTTCGGCGGGGGACTGCGACAAGAGCAGGCTGGTCCTGCCTCCTCTTCCTCGTACCTTCCATCCTGATCTGCATATTTCCGATGTGATTCCTGTACTGTCGGACGAGGTGGCCCCTACCTGGAAAGTGATTACGGTTCGAGTTGTGCGTGCGGGCGAGGCGGGGCTTCGCGATGGCGACGATGCGCCGACCTAGTCCAACGCCAAGTCGGTCAATATGTTTCGCCATCCCGTGCCTCGCGGAGGGGCGCGGGCTTGTCCCGTGGTTGTCTTGAGGTCGCGATGTGCGTTGTCCCATGGGTTGTACCGTGGTTGTCTTGTGGTTATCCTGTTGGTTTACCTGGGGGTTGTCCCATGGGTAATCCATTGGGTTGTCCTGTGGGTTGTCCCGGGAATTGCCCTGTGGTTGTCTCGTAATTATCCTGTGGTTGCGATGCGGGCTGTCCCGTGGTTGTCCCGCGAATGTCCGCCGTTGTCTCGTGGTTGTCCTGTAGTTGTCCTGTGGGCTGTCCCGTGATTGTCTCGCGGCTTGTCTTGTAGTTCTCCCATGGAGTGCCTTGAACTAGTAGGTCGTCCAGAAGCAGATGGATAGCTTGATAGCCAGCGAATCGTTCGGTAATCAATTACAGGTATAACTCATACAGATATACCGCGTTGGCGCATCACGCCATACAGCTCAGCTTTTGAAGTCTCGCACAGAGGCGGGACTTCAGACATGCATCTGCTATCATATGTGTATACATGTGTATATATATACATATATACATAGAGAGAGAGAGAGAGAGAGAGAGAGAAGGCGAGAGGGAGGGATATATACACATATGTGTATAGAACACACGAGAGAGAGCGATATATAACAACAAGGAAGAGAGAGAGAGAGAGAGAGAGAGTGAGACATACTGTAAGCGTAAATCATGCTGCGCGATGCCACCACCGATCGGTCTGCGAACGCTCGTGATCGGGCGAGTTGCACACAACTGTCTTGTGCCCGTCTGCACGCACCGCCCTGTTGAGCCCTGTCTGCCGACACGGGAGGAGATGGCCGAGAGGGGCGTTGGCCACGGCCCACAGCGGGCGGTTCCAAGCAACAATTACGCCGACGCGCTGCGCGAGACGTGCGCTCCGACAGGTCCGCTGGCCTGCACTGCGCCGCTGGGCGCCAGCCAAGGACTTCTCACTCTTCCTTTCTGCATATTCTTCGGGGGTCTACCGTGAGCTCCCAGATTCAAGCAGCGTGCGGACAATACTTGACGACAGTGTGAGTCTGACAGGCCCTCCTGCTCGTCTGGACAGGTTTTTTAATACAGCGGCTGTCTTCCAGCCGAGAAAGCCTTTATCACCCTCTCCCCCGCGCACTCCTCCTGCTCCTGCTCCTGCTCCTGCTCCTGCTCCTCCTCCTCCTCCTCCTCCTCCTCCGCCTCCTCCTCCTCCTGTTAAGCCTCCTCTTCCTCCTCCTACTCCCTCCTCCTCTCCTCCTCCTCCTCCTCCTCCTCCTCCTGCTCCCCATCCTCCTCATTCCTTCCGTCCTTCTCCTCCTCATCCTCCTCATCCCTTCTCGCCCTCCTCCTCCTCCTCCTCCTCCTCCTCCTCCTCCTCCTCCTCCTCCTCCTCCTACTCTGCCTTCCCCTCCCTGCACTCCTCTTCTGCTGCTCCTCCTCCTCGCATGTCCTCCTCGTCCTTATCCTCCTCTCCTACTCCTCCTCCTCCTCTCACCTCCTCCCCTCCTCCTCCTCCTCCCTCCTTCTCCCCTCCTCTCCTCCCCTCCTCCTCCTCGTCCTGCTCCTCCTCCTCCTCCTACTTCTCCTCCTCGGCCTCCTCCTTTTCTTTCTGCTCCTTCTCCTCCTCCTCCTCCTCCTCCTTCTCCTCCTTCTCCCCTTTCCTCCTCCTCCTCCTGGCTTCCCCCCCGCGGGGCCCAGCTGAGACCGCGACCGCCACGCTGCTCACGGCGGGACTCCTGCCCTCCGCGCCAACCTCCACGGCAAGGTCCCCCTCTGCGAACGGCTTGGCCTTGAGGCTCGCATGGGGAGCAGGGAGGGCGGGTCGTGCGGCGTCGGGAGGGGGAGGTCGCACCTCCTCCTCTCCTCTTCTCCTCCTCCTCCTCCTTGCTGCTCCTCTCTCCTCCTCCTCCTCCTCCTCCTCCTCCCCCTCCTCCTCCTTCCTCCTCCTCCTGCTCTCCTCCTCTCCTCCTCTCCTCCTCCTCCTTCCCTCCTCCACTCCTCCCCCTCCTCCTCCTCCCTCCTCCTCCTCTTCCTCCTCCTCCTCGTCCCCTCTTCTCCTCCCCCTCATCCTCTTTTTCCTCCTCCTCCTCCTCTTCCTCCTCCTCTCCCTCCCTCCCTGCCTTCCTCACTCCCTCCCGCCCTCTATCCCTCGCTCCCTTGAGGGGGGCTGGGCAAAATGGGGGGGTGGGCGGGAAGAGAAATCCAGGAGGGCCGACCACGACAAAGGGGGCGAGTAGTAAGAGAGGGGGTGAGCTCGAGAAAATGGGGCCCGCGATCACCACGAAGGAACACAGAGGGATGTGCGCCGGGGGCGGCGCCGCCAGGGCAGCCCAGCACAGATGCAAGAAATCCGCACGGACATCCAACAGTTTTTGCTTATTCAATTGTTGTGTTTGTTTTTGTTGTTGCTTTTGTTGTTGTTGCTGCTGTTGTTGTTACCGCTGCTGTTGTTGCTGCTGTTGTTGTTGTTGTTGTTATTGTTGTTGCTATTGTTGTTGTTGTTATTGTTGTTGTTGTCGTTATCGTTGTTACTGTTGTTACTGTTGTTGCTGTTGCTGTTGCTGTTGCTGTTGCTGTTGTTGTTGTTGTTGTTGTTATTGTTGTTGTTGCTGTTGTTGTTGTTGTTGTTGTTGTTGTTGTTGTTGTTGAACATTATTTCTGCTTAAGAATAATTATTGTTGGGGCCCCTGGTGCACGACCCCCCCGCCGCGCCTAGGCCGCAGCCTCATTTTCATCATTTTCGTGAGGAAGTCTCAGGCAAAACGGGGGAGTCCGGATCCGGTTGTGTTGTTACGATCGGTTTTCCCTTGCAAAAAATAAGCTAAAGTGGACATTTCTTGTTCTAACATAACCAAACTTCAAGAATCCCTTGCAAAAAATAAGGTAAAGTGGACATTCGCGCGCGCAAGACGAAATCCTTCCAAAACCTTAGTTTTCGTAGCGATTTTAACATAAAACATCAAAAAACCAATGGTTTTTCAAAAAAAAATGTCAAAATTTCATCCCGCGCGCTCTTGCGGATTCGTAGGAAACCCAACACTTTTTAAACATTTCTGTCAAACGGGCTTTTGCGAGCAACTTTTTCGAACTTCTGCAACAACGGTTGCGCACCTGCCAGGGCCATCATCCCTGTCAAATAATACCATGCGGGACACATTCGTTTTTTCTTCGCGCGCGCACGCCGTCGTCGTCGGCCGCGGGGCCCTGAATAGTAGCCACGGTCGTCCGCATGCCACGAAGTGAAGTGTCCGAACGTCATAGGGCGGGAAGCTGGGTGTGGGTGGTGGCGAAGAGTCGTTTGGAAATTTGGTAGAGCTTGAACCGGCCCCCCCACAAAGTGGGGGTATTGCCCGCCTCCTATGAAAACCCTGGCACTGGTGAGAACGGTGTGTCCCCACGTGCTAGTAATTGTTGTTGTTGTTGTTGTTGTTCGTTGTTGTTGTTGTTGTTCTTCTTCTTCTTCTTCTTCTACGAAGGAAGCATGCGAATCACAGGCCGACGTTCGGGACTCGAGCGATCACCGTCAACAAGGCTGCACGCAGTCCGCAACTACTGCCGGCTGCATGCAAGGAGTGACCCTCGGCAGCAGTGACCTTTTGGTGCGCGGCCCAAGGCGAGGCCCCCCGGGGGACACCGCCTGGCGCGCCACCCGCTGCCACAGCATCGCGTTCTGCCATCCAGGGGCCCCCTGCGGCTCGCACCCTAAGGCCGCTCCAGCGAAAGGTCACCCCCCCCTGAGGTCCGACGAGGCAAAAACATGGCAGCATCGCAAAAAATCACGCCCGGACCCCTGGGCCCCGTCTGTCTGCGTCATTCTTCGAGCCAGATCGATATGTGAGGGCCTCGGGGCCCGAAATCGAGCGAACACGCCCGTTGTGAAAAAATTGCGACGGCAGGATCTCAGGGTCACGTGTATCGGGGGGGCACAAAGGTGTCGTTGGGACAAAAGTGGGGTTGGAGGAAAATTCGGTCCGGACGGCTCCTGGAAGAAGGAAACGCATTAAACTGGAGCATCCAGCTGGGCTCGTTCTCCAGCCCCACCTTGGGATAACCCTCCCTCTACGAATCCCCGAGTGTAGCCGATACGAAGGCCCTGGGCGGCCCCAGCGCTCGAGCGCCGGGGCGCATTCCACCTCGGCGCGGGCACGCTGTCACAACCAGCGCCGCCCGCGCGCTCCGCAGCACGGCGCGAGAGGTGGAAGGCCGCTGGGCAGCCCTTTGAGCGCCGCGGGAAGCGTCGCCAGCAGCGAGCGCATGCACGAGGCGAGGAGGAGTCGCAGGGAGGATAGCGGCTGTCCCGCCGGGAGCTCACTGCATCCTTCCACTCGGTCATTCATCCCTCCCCCTTCCCCCCTTCCCCTCTTCCCCTCCTCCTCCTCGTCCTCCTCCAGTCCTTGTCTTCATAAATAACTTCTCCCTGTCGCACCCCGAAGCCAATTTTAGGGCGGGCCGGGCGTTTCGCCTGAGACTTCCTCACCATTTATGACTCTGAAGCGTAAAAGTCGGCAACAGTTTCACATATTGAGGGCGGGTTGTTCTCAGAATGTGGCTCTCGTCTTAGCGCCGCGCACATTCGTTTTTAAACACTTGCAAGAGCCTCACGGATTGAGGATCATCCGTTTTCAACATGCGGCTCTCGCCTTAGCGCCGCGCGCATTTGTTTCAAACACTTGACAGAGTTTCACGGATTGAGGATCACCCGTTTCAAAATGTGGCTCTCGCCTTTAGCGCCGCGCGCATTTGTTCAAACAAATTGCAAAAGCTTCACGGATTGATGGCGGTGTCTTATCAAAATGTCAATTTTCAAAAGTTTCACGGAATCCCACGATCAACGTACCAGAAGTGGTGTTTTAGAAGGGTTCTGGATTTTGCGGGTGCAACAATTACGTTGATTCGCGGTGTTGAAATCCCAAGAACAGCGTTCTGGCGCGATCCAGGATCGTCAAGACGCACAGTCAAGTTGATCCGTGGCGTTGGAATTCCGAGAGCAATGTTTTGGCATGCTTCTGGGTCTTCAAACGGTTACCTTCCAACGGGGCAGAGCCCTCAATGGAAATGAACCGTTGTAGGGGCCTATGAAAAGGGAGCTTGGAGGGAGGGTGTACTCCAACATCGCTGAAGGCTCTTGGGTTTACACTGGTCCTCCTCCTCCCCCTCCTCCTCCTCCTCCTCCTCCTCCCCCTCCTCCTCCTCCTCCTCCTCCTCCTCCTCCTCCTCCTCCTCCTCCACAAGGCGTCCAGAGTGAGATGGGGCGGGAGGGAGGGGGCATGAGAGAAAAGGGACGGAGGCGGGGGGGGGGAAAGAATACGGGGGGCGACGAAAGAAGACAGGGGGGGAGGCTTGGAGAGCGACAGGTTTGCTGGGGGCTGATTCCCCCCCAAAGCGACGAAAGCCCTGCCCAAACCCTCCCGAAACCTTCTGGAACCCCTCCGGGGGGTTATGGAAGGTTTCGGCTGTTTTGAAAGGAGACCACCCCCTGACGAACCCCGGATTTTCTCAGAGGAGGCCACGGAAGGCGATGGTAAGACAAAGAAAGGGACGCCCAAATAAATAACACGAAACGGAGAGGGAAACACACACGGAATGGGGGGAAGAACGCGATTTCTGAGGGAGCGCGTTTCAAGTTCGCTTGCCTTGGAAAATTATCCCAAACTGGGGACCCCTCTGGACAAAATGTGAAAAGACCTCCGTCGACCCCAACCAAGGGCTTTTGGCCGAAATGAATATGAATGCCAGCACGTGGGCCCTGAACGGCCAGTTCTTGCAATAGAAAGGTGTGCAACATTTGGGCTCCAAACAGTGGTGTGCAAGCTATGTTGTGCAACGTATGGGGTGAAAGTTACAAAGGTCCTCCTCCTCCTCCTCCTCCTCCTAGCCCCTCCTCCGAGAGGGAGGGGAGGAACATGCGCGGGGAGGGAAACGACCAAACAACAAATTTTCGGCCCTGGACTTCTACCGGTCATCGTTCTGTTCCTGTTGTGGAACCCAGGGGGGGAAGGTGGTGGTAGTGGTGGTTGGTTTCATCACCACCCCCTCACATCATGTGGAGCGAACGATGAGGTGCAGGTCATGGGGTGGAGTACACCTGGTGCAACCCATGGAGTGCAACCTGAGAAGGGCAACACGTGGGGTGCAACTCTCGGGGGCGCAACCTGGGGGCTGCCAATCATGGGCTCCTGCCGCCGATTCAGACGGGTGTGCCGCAAAGGTGTGGTTTGCACCCAGCTTCTGGGGGGGCACCCAGTGGGGCGGGCGAAGACCTCGTCTCAGCTCTCCGCCGCGCCCCGAGGAGGCCCGACGAGGACGGTGTCGTGCTCCCCAGGTCCCAACGATGCCGATCGCAAGCCACACCCCGGCGTGACCATACCTTGTGTCGTCGCCGACCCTGTCCGCGGGGCGCAGCCTTGGACCACCCGGAAAAGCCACTCGAGCGCAGACTTGCCGGCCACCGCGCGCGGCCTCCCCGCCGGAGCCCAGGCCCCCTCCCGGCACCCCGTCGGGTGGACGGCGCCCCACGGCGCGCTCCGAGCGACGGGGACCGCGTGGTGACCTCGGAACCCCCAACGACCTCACAGCGCGGCCCGTCACCGCACGGCCTTGGGGCCCCGGCGGCCCTGGTCGCTCGAGACGTCCTGAAAAAACGACTCGCGCCCCAAAACCGCGCGGTGGCCCCGAGGCCCCACTGACTCACCACGCGGTGTGGTCACCACTCGGCCTGGGGGCACCCGTCGAGGAAAGGTCCAGCATCCACGGAGAAACTGCCCTCGGACGCCTGAATAATCATGCCATTTTTTCTGCCATTTCTCTTGTGTTAGAAACAAGCAACATGGCTTCCCAGATTCTATTGAACTCTTGGCCCTCCAAATCGATGAGACCTAGTCTGAGGGGTGCAGCCGCTTCGGGGCCCTTCGTGGGGCCAAGGCACTGGAAGACCCGGCGCCAAACCCCGGAACCCAATGGAGCGCCCACCGCTGGACCTGCTGCCATTGTCGTGACAAAAACACCCACGAAGCGGAGACTCCTGCGCCCAGGCGTGCGTTGAGACCACTGATGCGTCCCCCAGTGTCAATGTCGAGAACGGGTGTGCCTGCGATCTTGACTTAAGGGCGTTTGTTCTGCCGATGACTGCGCTCCCACGCCGACAGCGAGAGTAACAGTGAAATGATGGGGCTCCGGGGTGGCCCCGTCGACTTGTCGACGCAACAACTTTGGGCGGGCGCGTTGTATGTCAACCGCGGCAGCAGCCAGGCAGGCCCACCAAAACCTGGCGCCCACAACCGCGGTCCACCCGCGCTCACCGCCGAGGCGCCGCACGCCGGCGAGGCCATGAGAAAGCAGTGTGCAGTCCGCTGGTGCGAGCACGCGTGGGAGCACGGCAGCCCGCCTGAGCGATCGCGCCCCGATGGTGCGCGTGGGCAGAAGTTCTCGACGTCGGCGCCGCTTGCCAGGGCGAGCAGGAGGGGTTTTGGAGCCCCTCTGGGGCCCCAGATCTTGCCGAGATATTTTTTTTTGGTTTTGTTGTTGTTGCTGTTGTCGTCGTCGTCGTCGTCGTCGTCGTCGTCATCGTCGTCGTCGTCGTCGTCGAACATTATTACTTCTAAAGAATAATTATTGTTGGGGCCCCTGGTGCACGACCCCCCCGCCGCGCCTAGGCCGCAGCCACGTTTTCATCATTTTCGTGAGGAAGTCTCAGGCAAAACGGGTTGGTCCGGATCCGGTTGTGTTGTTACGATCGGTTTTCCCTTGCAAAAAATAAGCTAAAGTGGACATTTCTTGTTCTAACATATCCAAACTTCAAGAATCCCTTGCAAAAAATAAGGTAAAGTGGACATTCGCGCGCGCAAGACGAAATCCTTCCAAAACCTTAGTTTTCGTAGCGATTTTAACATAAAAACATCAAAAAACCAATGGTTTTTCAAAAAAAATTGTCAAAATTTCATCCCGCGCGCTCTTGCGGATTCGTAGGAAACCCAACACTTTTTAAACATTTCTGTCAAACGGGCTTTTGCGAGCAACTTTTTCGAACTTCTGCAACAACGGTTGCGCACCTGCCAGGGCCATCATCCCTGTCAAATAATACCATGCGGGACACATTCGTTTTTTCTTCGCGCGCGCACGCCGTCGTCGTCGGCCGCGGGGCCCTGAATAGTAGCCACGGTCGTCCGCATGCCACGAAGTGAAGTGTCCGAACGTCATAGGGCGGGAAGCTGGGTGTGGGTGGTGGCGAAGAGTCGTTTGGAAATTTGGTAGAGCTTGAACCGGCCCCCCCACAAAGTGGGGGTATTGCCCGCCTCCTATGAAAACCCTGGCACTGGTGAGAACGGAGTGTCCCCACGTGCTAGTAATTGTTGTTGTTGTTGTTGTTGTTGTTGTTGTTGTTGTTGTTGTTGTTGTGTTTTTTTCAGATTTTCTCTTCCTGGCCGAGATCGACGCGTCCCCCCCGAAACGCCGCCCGCGGCATCTAAATGTCGGTTTACATCGACCGAACTTTCGGCCAACGCACGTTTGCTTGTTGCCTGCAGCTTCCATACGGTACGTCGATCAAATGTTGCACCACCTGGTGCCCAAGACAGCGGACACCGTTTTAAAATAAACGCTTACGTCTGAACCTCCCCCCCCACCCCCATCTAATATTGGCTGCGGTCTGGGGTTGCCGAAACAGGTCGGCGGTACAATATTCTGTCGATCGCCAGGGGAATTTCAGAGCAGCTCTTTCTGGCATGCCCCCAATCTAAAATGGGGGTGGGGGGGAGGCGGGGTGTTGAAGTACACATTTCAGAGCTCGCCTAAAGTGATGCAACATTTTGTCGACGTACGGTAGATCTGCGCCTTGTGACCCTGCTGACAGAAGTATGCGCGTGGCTGAGGTGATCGCCCTCCATGGGATTCACCGCAAGGTAAGATACAGGCTTCCCATTACCAGATGAACGCTCGCCGAACCCGAGCTGCACTTGACTTAGACCTGTTGCAGACTCTGTTGGACCTGAAATGTCGTTAGTCGCCTCTGTGGACATCCGAATGCTGGCGGCCCGTGGGAGTAGACCTCGTTCGTGCTTCCGCCTCCAGCAGAACTTGTGATTTTCCCCTGGATGAGAAACAAATGACTTCAGAGTTTGTTCGATCGTCGGGGCGAAGGGGCACGGAGCGAATCATGCTGAATATCCCACTGGTGCGCCCGTCATTACGCTCAGCAGGGCATCGAATATGCGTTCTGACCGAGCGAGGGCGGGGAGGCTGGAGGGTGGAAGAGGGAGGCAATGGGAGACATGATGATAACATGTTCAAAAGAAGGTGGATCTGATATTAATGCGTGGAGAAGAACCACACGGAAACAATGGAGAAAGATAACGACAGAGAGGAGCCGGACGTGCCTCCGCATGCAAATGGAACGTGTTCTCGTTCTTCATGTCCGTCCACTCAACGGGCACGGCCCTCTTCACCTATCAGCGGAAGCATGTTGAGGACATCTTCCTATTGACCACCAGCTCAATCCCTGCCTCCCCCTCCCTGCAAGAGCGGCGGGCGTTGGAGCGGCTGGCGTAACATTGGCTTCTTGGGGTGAGTACGGACGAAACGGTTGCTTTGCAAGTTGCCGAGCCCGTTCTTGCCGCGCGCGTTGACCCGAAGACCCCAGTCGGCCCAGGCTGCTCCCGTGCGCTGGGCGTTGGGTGGCAGTGGGATGCGGGTGGGAGGAGGGGAGAGGGAGGGACGGATGGAGGGAGGATGGGAGAGGGGGGGGAAGAAGGGGAGGGGAAGGGGGAGGGGAGGAGGGAGATGGAGTGAGGGGAGAGGGGGGGAGGAAGGGGAGGGGAGGTGGGGGGGGGCAGGGGGAGAGGGAGGGAGGGGAGAGGGAAGGGGGGATATGGCGGCGAACTCCCCCTGCTCAACCCTTTCGTGGCGCTCCTCCTGGCGTTCTCGTGCGTGCCCAATCTAAGATCTCTGGTTGGCGCCCCCCCTCCCCCCCTGGGTGTGGGCATCGTCTGGCGGTGTGCGGTTCCTGGGACGGGGGGGTTTCGCCAGCTCCCATCTGCAGAGCGCACCGGCCGGCCGGACACGCGGCTGCGCAAAAGGGGGGAGGGGGGAGGGATGGAGGGAGGAGGGAGGGAATGAGGAGGGAGGGGGAGAGGGAGGGGGAGGGGGAGGGGCAGGTAGGGGAGGGGCAGGGA